CAAATGCTCCTTAAAGAGGCAATCCTAGCCACATGTTAAAGGGACAAAACCTCTGGTATTTTTCATGTCCAAGTCCAAATGCAAAAGCCATTTGGGTATGACTGGGCATCACAACAGACACCAGCTCCTACTCCGTATTTTATCACGGGTGCAATTTCCCAAGTTGCTGTACTTAAAATTGCAACAAAGTACGTCACAGTAAGGATATACTGCTAATTAGCGCCCATTGTTGCTTTCACACAGCAGCTTGGTTTTAATGGAGAGAAGACTATTTAGCTCTTGCCAAGAAAAAACAATTGGGAAACAAAGGTATCATTGCAAAAATAAATAAATAAATAAATCAGTAGTTTTTGGTAAGGGGGATTCAGTGAAACAGTCCTACACACTGTGTTTGCATAAAATGTTTGTCTAGTCCTTTTAAAGCTAAGTAGATACTGAAGAGCTTATGTATTAAAATGTTAAGTCACAAAGTTATTTTAATTATGAAAGTGGATAAAAATTTGAAAATGTGCTACTACAAATTCACAAAGGCTAAATACATTTAAATAATTGCCTCTTCTAAGCATTATTAGCAATAACTGTGTTGTGCTTTCTCTTGTACTGTGTAAGTTGAATAGTCTTGTAATGTGTTCTTGTACACTCTTTCAACATTGCAGTTGAAAAACCTGTCCCATGTAAATGGACCAGCAACACTCAGTTCAATTTTTGCAAGATGAAAGTGTTCACACTCTTCTCTAAAGTCACTTTCAAGTTAACACCATATTGCTCCATAATTTCCTTTTTTTTTTTTTTTTGCTCCATCTCTTTGACAGAGCAGTCTTTTTCATCAATGCCTATGTAAAATTTATTTGCTAATAATAAAAGAGCCATCAAAGCTACATTTTTCTCAAAAAATTATTCCTTTAGCCAAAAATATTACTAGTATCATTAGAAATTGCTGTGTCCTCAGTGCAAAGCTGTTAACAAGGCAGCTGCTCATCTAACAGGCATTTACTGTTTCCACTCTTTAAATGGTTTCTCTGAGCTTGGAAAAATTAAAATGTTTTGATCAATTTTAGGGCTGAACCTGAACAAATAATAGAGTATCCCAAGTTGGAAGGGACCTGTAAGGATCATCCTTAAAGATCATAAATGAATTAGATCAGCGTTAAACCCAGTCTTGCAAGGCGGAGTGCTCAGGCTTACTCTAAGACTTGCTGTAACAGTTATACCCTAAAATACCACAGCGTCTTTGGGAAGATTTGTGGTCATCAGAAAATCAAGGTTGGCATTTCTCCATGTAAGTGTTTTGTGTCCCTGGTGATCAATAGCTGCTGACCTTTTAATCTGCTACCACAAACAGGTCTGAGGTTCCTACTACAGTCACAATGGGGTTGTGATCCATTTCTATCATTTTGGGAAGGAAACTGTTGACAATCTATAGGAAAAAAAAAATAAACTTCATTTATGTTGAAAAGATTTCTATTAAACTGGCAAATCTCAGTGTGTCTCATTTTTGGGTCTCTTGCTGAAATTCAGTTGGGCTACTCCTGGTCTTCATTTATTTCTAGTTTTAGCTACAGGCTAGAAATTGTCTGGCTCCACAATCAAAACTATGGTGGTCTCTTTCATACTGACCCTTTATACGTTCTATGAATTTTGTGTGTTTGGATTTTTTCATATTTCCAAAAGGCCAGTGTGTATGACTTGGCAGATGCTCAGATTTTTTCAATACCCTGTCAGTGTGCTGACTGTTATATTTTGATTTTCATAGTGCTGAACAGGGAAGTTGCTGACCCAATGGAGTTTTCATGAAATTCTTGATGCTTTTTTTCTTTTTTTTTTCTACCACAACATTTCATGCTGGAAAATAATAATTTATCAGAAATTTTGTGAATATCAAAGGCATCTGGTGCTAGCATTTTAGTGTAGGTTATTAGGTTGGGAAGTCAGAGGTTGCATCCCAATTAAAATTTGTTTTTTTTTTTTTTCATATCCAGTTCAGATTTAAAAAGCAGAACATAACAATGTAGCAGATACTGGCATATGAAATATTTAGATAATTCCATTAGATTAATAAAGTTTTTTTTAGCAATTCAGAAGTATTTTTTTATTCATCAAGTTTTCCCTCCTCTGGACACTAAAGAAAACAATGACTGTGTGCATGCCATTACTCAGTGTTCTGTGTAGAAGTCAAAGACATGCCTGTGAAGGCTGCCATATGATATAAAAGTGTTCTTCAGAAGTCAAGTACTGTTTAAAAATAAATAAAAGGAAAAAAAGCATGTGACTAACTGCTTTTTAACCATCACTTTAGTTTTGGCCGCTCCTAGTAAGGTTTGACAATGCAATTGCTCCTGCATGAGTCTTACTGGTGGCGTTGAAATAATTGAAAGGCAAACAGGACACAAGACTACAGAGGCACAACTGTTGCCTTTGGATGCAATGAGCAAGCACCCTGCGTGAGAGCAGTGTGTGCTGTCCTTTGGGAGATGTGTCTCGTTAGCCAAAGTCTGTGAAGCAAAGCTTCCACAGGCTGGCTGCTCTGGCCAACAGTGGGCTATGGAAGTGATTCCTGTGCAGGTAAAACACAAGGAGAATTGTGATTTATATTATGACTTTTTTTTTTTTTGCCACCAGTTGAGGAACTTTCATGAGTCTTGGATACAAAGAGCCCTGAATTAAAGAATTCATCTAGCTAATGAGTTTTTTTGACATTTTTCTGCCAAAGGGAATAAAAAACAGTGACATCAAATAAATTTGACACTAAGCTTGATTTCAGCTGCTTAACAGCCCAGACCTTCCCACTTTTCCTTCCCTGCCAAGCTAGGGAACGCAAATCACATTTACAGTTCCTTTTGAATTGTACATGTGATGTGGGCTTGCACTATACTATAACAAGATTAGTTTTCCCAGTAATCTTCTTAAAATATCCATCCCATGATTGTCTTTTCATCTCCTGGTGTTCTGGAACTTGGATTAATGAGATTGAAATTTATTCCACAAGTCCTGTTTGATAAGCTGTTTTCTAGAATTAGTTGTCTACGAACACATTTCATTTGGAAAGAGCATTTTTGTGGCAGCTGAATTACACATTGTTATGCCAAATGTGCTATATAATACCTACAAATGTATGCACAGTATGAATGCCTGTAGATACTACTAGACAAGATTAATAAAACAATACAGGCTTACTTGTTTCAGAATGTTTAAAGTATCTCGTATGGCTTTTTGAAGCAGAATTGCAGAGCCTTGGACATGCTTGCAAATTAGCTGACCAATTTACTACATATCTTTTCTTGTTTTCATCACATTTCAAGCACCATCCTTAAACTACCCCTTCCACTGATCCCAGAAGACATATTTATCATGCAGTAAGTTTGATCTGGTTCCCTTGCCACAGAATCCCTTTTCAGTTAGCAGAAGTTTGATATCAAATTAACAGTTTGCTTAAGCAAGGATATTAAAAGTCACACAGGATTAACACTAAATACAATTTAGAGTGTGTGACTGAACAGCTCTGCCTCGTATCTTGTTGTAACCAATGTGTATTTTACAAACAGAAAAAAAAAATTAGTCACGGAGCATGATTTAGAGCTAGTCTTGCCAAGAGCTCGGTATTGCAGAATTGATTGTTCAACTCTTATATTTAGCTCAAAAGACTACCCTGCAGATGTAAGAAGTATATGTGTTGAGGGATTTTTTGAAACAGCAAAAATCCCATGGCTTGCTGTAGCTGAGCAAACCAAGCTACCAGGGCAACTATGAGAAGTTCCCATGACAGTGTTCCCACATCGCCCAATTGAGGAATTCAGAAAAATATTGTTACCAGTAGCTGGCTTCAAGGACAAGGTCTATGTGACTGCTAATCACAAGGGGGTTGTTTTCTTGCAGGTGAGGTTGTTTTCTGGTAGTTGTTTGTCTGAGTGCTTTTGACCAATAATCTTGTGTGAAACACTGTCCGCCCCTGTTAAGTTCACTATAAAAGTTAGGCTATTTGGGCAATAAAAGGGAGCATGATCTGACTCTACTGGTGTCTGTCGTGCTTTCAGCCGTGCTTCCCGCAACACATATGGATTTGTGCCTCCCCCTGCCTGTCCCCTCTGCCTCAAACTTTTGACTCCATTTCAATCTCCTCTTCTTTGTTGCTCTCATTTGAGCAACAAATTCCCATCTTCCCAAGGAGGTGCTGTGAGGCAGGTGGAAGCTGTGGAACATTTTGGAGTGACCTGGTGGCACCCCCTGCTCTACAGTGACCATTGGTGGGGGACAAAACACTGCTTGGGTGAACCTTCTGACCACAAATAGACGCATACACTCTGTAAGAGTGTAGGTTGCTAAAAAATGCCTTTAATGTATAAGCAGGGATGCCATGTGGCACATACCCACTAGATATGGATAACTGGATTCACAGCTCATTACCAAAGTAAAGTTAGAGATTTAAGATCAATGTACACAGCAGTGCCTGGGTTAGAAAGCCAGGCTGCTTTCATTCAACACACATCCTTTTTTTTTTTTTTTTTTTTTTTTTCTCTCCTTTCAATACATTACTCAGTAGCAAAATATTTAAACTATCTTGTCTATCTACAGCCACCTAAAGGCAAACTAACTGCTACGCCACGCACTCCCCAAGCTGTGGTACAACTCTCAGTGCCACTGCTGAGCAGGAACCTGGCAGAGCGGGCAAGGGACCTGAGGTGGTGTAAGCACAGTACTTGGATTTAACACAAGCACAATACAGTTTGGGAGCTCCTGTTCCGAATTCAGACTTGCCGGCAGGTTTGATGTTGCCTCTCCGCTTGCACGTACCTACGGGCAAGTCACTGCACACCCGGCGCTGGCTGCAGCGCGAAATGGCGGCCAGGCCCCTTCACACCTCACGCCACCTCCATCCCCGGCCTCTTACCACCCCGGAGCGGGGAACAAGCGATCGCTTCCCCTGCGCCTCGCCAGGCCGCAAGCAGGACCCACGGCCAATCCGAGGCGACTTCTGGAAGCAGAAGCACGGCCCTGAAAGCGACAGGCCCGGGCAACACCTCCCGACATGGCGGCGGCTCCCCCTTCCCGCCTTCCCGCCTCCGTGCGGGCGGGCCCGGGGCGGGCCCCGGCGGCCCCATAAAGCCGGGTGCGCGGGGCTGGTCGCCCTCTTGCTCCCGCGTGGCTGAGGTAAGGTGGGTTCTTGGATCCTGAGGGGTGAGCGGTGAGGGGGGGTTTCTCGCTCAGCTGTATGCCCCCTGCTCGGCCGGGCTCCTGCTCGTGCCGCCTCGCTGCCCCCCGCTGAGGTGGCGGCATGGCCGCCCTTTCCCGACCCCGTCCCTGAGGGGTTTCCTCTCGGATCGCTTCCCCGTCTGGTGTCCCCGTCTCCGTGCTGGGGGTCCCGGCCTGGGCTCCTCTGGTCCCCGTGGAGCTCCCTGGGGAGGTGGGAGCTTGGCCATATCACACCCCAGGGACTCGCTGGTGTAGGTGATGACTGAACTTTTTTCCCCATCAGAGCGACAGTGTTGAGTTGTCACTGCTCTAGCCAGGCCTTGTCTGATGCACCAGCAAGGGCAGAGCTGTTGTGTGTGCTGGCCTCGTGGGGCTGGGTGCTGACTGCTCCTTTGGATTCACTCCTAGGCCTGTGTGATGGCAGGGGGCTGCTGGGCATGCTGCAGAGCTGGAGCAGTGCATGGAGCTGGCTGGGATCAGCCTTACACTGAGTGCAGTTGCCTGGCTTCCTTCACAGTGCCTGAACCTTGAGCAGGTGAGAGTCTTTAAGTCCTTTTTGTTGATCACTGGTTTAAATTTAGAAAAAACAAACTCCTTCCTGCCAGGGAGCAGCTTCAGAAGTGCTTTGGCAAGTTTGTGTCTTTAGAGACTTTGCATATAATCTAAGTGTTAGCCTAGGCTTTGCAGAGCTGAGAGTGAGACAGGGAACAAGATACAGGATGTTATTTTGCAAATTTTAGCTAACGCAGTTGTATGTTGTATATCAACTAAAAGGACAGGACAATCCTAAAGATAAGGAATGAAAAGACTGCACATAAATGATAGAACCAGCAAGAACTGGCTTGGACTGCTGAGGTCTGCCAAAGAAAGGAAGGGTCAGAAGTTTAGCAGTGAGGAAGACTACTGGTCTTCATCAAAAGCTATCCAGAGTAGCATACTTTGGGTGACTACCCAAGGACTCTAGTACACATGTGAATAGGGGCAGGAACCTATGTTACTGGTTCTTTAGAAACCTAATGAATATGCAAGAGACTCAGAAATTAAGTGAATATGTATCTATTCCATGAATACAAGCACACTGCTTATAACTCTTGGTGTGTATCTTAGGCAGAGTGATCCCCCACATGCTCTGCACAGTAATAAAGAATACCTGCATAATAACTTTGGTTATTGAGTTTTCACCATGTCACTATGTATAATCTAATCATTAGGCTAGGCATTGCAGAGCTGAGCACACAAAGAGTTTCCTCCTCCAGAGCATTGTACCTGCATCATTGCTGGACCGTTCACAGGGGGCTGCTGCATGTATGTGGCTTTGCTGCTTCCGTTGCAGTTAGCTTACTGTTCTCTGTGCACGGTGGGGGGTGGGAGCTTGGCCATATCACACCCCAGGGACTCGCTGGTGTAGGTGATGACTGAACTTTTTTCCCCATCAGAGCGACAGTGTTGAGTTGTCACTGCTCTAGCCAGGCCTTGTCTGATGCACCAGCAAGGGCAGAGCTGTTGTGTGTGCTGGCCTCGTGGGGCTGGGTGCTGACTGCTCCTTTGGTTTCACTCCTAGGCCTGTGTGATGGCAGGGGGCTGCTGGGCCTGCTGCAGAGCTGAAGCGATGGTGGTAGATGGCTGGGATCAGCCTTACACTGAGGGCAGTTGCCTGGTTTGCTCTGTTGTGCCTGAACCCCTGATACCCCTGATGGGTGTGAATGGTAAGTCCTTAAGTTGACTGTATCTGTTACTGGATTAAAAAAAAGTGTGTGTGTATATATATATATAAAAGGGAGTTGCTGGATTACTCAAATGGACCCTTCCTCAAATGTTTTGCAAATGTTTGGTGTGTTCATGGATATATTAGTGATTTCAGGGAAAGGAGATGAGCTTTGTGGAAAATGATAGGACTATGTATGAGTTAGTAGCAAATGTTGCCTGCTGAGAGGAACAGGCTGGTGCTGCTCTTCTGCTCTGCCCCTTGCTGGTAGGTATGCAGCAGCGGTCACAGGATGGGGCATGCTGTGGTCCTGCCTGGGCTAGTTCCTCTGCCTGGGGTTTGGCGACTGTACAGCACTTTGTGCTGCATGCACAATCTTCTGTCTCTGCAGTGTGAAGGCAGGAAACTTCATGTGGCCATGAAAGTTGGACCTGAAAAAGCGTATGAGCTCTTATCCCTGCCTCCCTTTTCTGTTGGGTCTGCATTTAGCAGTCTCTTGCTGTGCTGCAGAAACCCTGTTTGTCTGTGTTTTCCTCTGGGCTCCCGCAGTGTTAGCCCCTGTGCCTGTTGAGCAGTCCAGCCAGGCAGTTCTTTGTGGGGAAGGATTTGCATGAATTTCCCCACAGATTTGTGTGGGAAGGTGGGAGCTTGGCAATATCACAGCCCAGGGACTCGCTGGTGTAGGTGATGACTGAACTTTTTTCCCCATCAGAGCGACAGTGTTGAGTTGTCACTGCTCTAGCCAGGCCTTGTCTGATGCACCAGCAAGGGCAGAGCTGTTGTGTGTGCTGGCCTCGTGGGGCTGGGTGCTGACTGCTCCTTTGGATTCACTCCTAGGCCTGTGTGATGGCAGGGGGCTGCTGGGCCTGCTGCAGAGCTGAAGCGATGGCTGGAACCAGCTGTGGATCAGATGTGTGATGAGGGCAGTTGCCTGGTTTGCTTCACAGTGCCTGAACCTTGAGCAGGTGAGTCTTTAAGTCCTTCTTGTTGATCACTAATGTAAATTTAGAAAAACCAAACTCCTTCCTGCCAGGGAGCTGCTTCAGAAGTGCTTTGGCAAGTTTGTGTCTTTGGAGACTGCTGTGTATAATCCAAGTGTTAGCCTAGGCATTGCAGAGCTGAGAGCACAGAGGGTTTCCTCCTGCAGAAGCATTGTACCAAGGCCCTTTGTGCACTGTGTCACTGCTGAAGTGTTCATCGTAGGCTGCATGTATGTGGCTTTGCCACTTCCGTTGCAGTTAGCTTACTGTTCCCTATGTCTGTGCACGGTGGGGGGTGGGAGCTTGGCCATATCACACCCCAGGGACTCGCTGGTGTAGGTGATGACTGAACTTTTTTCCCCATCAGAGCGACAGTGTTGAGTTGTCACTGCTCTAGCCAGGCCTTGTCTGATGCACCAGCAAGGGCAGAGCTGTTGTGTGTGCTGGCCTCGTGGGGCTGGGTGCTGACTGCTCCTTTGGTTTCACTCCTAGGCCTGTGTGATGGCAGGGGGCTGCTGGGCATGCTGCAGAGCTGAAGTGATAGCTGGAGCCAGCAGTGCGGCGAGTTGGCCTGGTTTGCTTCACTGTTTACTTTTTCCTTTGGCAGAAGAGAATGGTAAGTTGTTGCCCTGAAATTTTGACTGATACATAGATCTGAGTGTTGTAGCAGGAGCCCTTTGCCTCATGTTTGCCTTCTTACAGCGTGTTTGAGGTGGCAAGTGAGGGTAATGAACAGCATCGAGCTGTGAGTCAGCAGCAGCCTAGAAGCTGTGGTGATGTGATCTCTTAAAGACAATTGCTCAGGAGAATAGAAAATACTTCTTAGTTATTGACCTGAGAATTACACCTGTTAAAATACTGTTTCTTTTATCATCTTGCCTGCGGAGAGTAATATGCCTTGTCAGTTTTTATGGGCCTGAAATATTTTTCCGAATGTAATGGAGTGCCTTGATAATAAACTGAAGAGTCTCTCTCTGTCTGTGGTATATGATAACTTCAAACTTTTTTCCCCATCAGATCAGCAGAGCTGATTCGAACTTCTGTTTTAGCCAGTTTGTCTGATGCCACAGATGCAAAACTCAGTTTGTCACCTGGCTCTGTATTGAGGCTACCTGTCCTTGCACCCCTGTGGGCAGGGAATCCTTGTGCATGCTGCATGCTTTTAGGGCAGGCAGCACTGGAGGGTGCTGTCTGCACATACCTTAGTAACACTTATTGTGTAACACTATCTGATATGCATAAAAGACTTGAAGATCAAAAGTGAAAGAATTCTTGCTCTTAGAAGATCTTCAGTAACAAAAATGGCTGAGATTTCTGGCAGGTTTCAGTTTAACATAAATGACATAAACATAGTTTTTTTGTTGTTTTGCCCTACTTCAGCAGTGATAAAATTAAGTGCTTCATATAAAGTCAGGGAATCTTTGTTCTCCTAGATTTTTCTCTGTCAATGAGAAGTTCTCCATGCTTTGGAAGTCTTGATAAGTCAGTTTTCAGCAAATGTGGCTGGGGGAGGGGGATTCCTTTTGGTATTTTTTCTTCACTTTCTACAAAGGATCAACTGTCTACTGAAAACTTGGCTATTTGGTTAGGATTTCACTAATGCTCTATAAAATGTGCTTAACAATCTTGCTTCATTAAATAAGCAGCTATTGTTACTGGCTTCATTCAGTTACAGCTTGGTCTTGCTCTTTAGGTACTTGGTGTTCAGCTGTTCATAGTTTTAATATGGCTGAAGTCTCCTCAGTAGTCTGTGGAGAGCACAGATGTGACCATTCTATATGGCACACTCAAATTGAACAGCAGCATGATTGGCCTGTGTCAGGTGGTGAAGCTGGTAGAGCTGACCAAATCTGTTACTCTGGCACCCTCTTCTCAGTGAGTTCCCCCAGACTTTGTTCAAGAACAACTCTGAAAGCCCCCAAAATGCAGTTCTACAAGTGCATTCTATTTGGAGTGTCTTAACAGTGCAGGGGTTCTTATGGTTGCTTGCAGAATAGCCTTTGTCTAATTTTTTTTTTTGGGGGGGGGGGGAGGTGGGGTTGGAATTTAAAAGCTGTGTTTTTGCTGCTTGATATAGAGTCAACTGACAAAATGTTGGGTGTTTTCTTGGCAGGTTAAGATCTGTCAGAAGTTGTCCCAGGACCTGCTGTGATTTCAGTGTTCTAGGTGAAAGCTGTCTCCTGCTAATGATGTTACTCTCCATGCTGCTGCCTGTGATCCCTTGTTCAAGCTACAGCATCCACATCATCCTGCAACAGCTCTTTGGTCTTTTCTCAGAGCTAGCAGGGAATGATAAATTGGTGTCTTGCCAACTCACAGATGGAGGGTGTTATATTTTTTCCTTTGTATGAGACATTTAATCGGAATGGATTCTGGAACTTGTATGTTTAACATAATTTGGTGCTTTTGTCTGTGAGGGATGTCTGTGTTCACCTGGCAACTAATGTTACCTTGTCAGTATCGTGCAAAGTATAGAAGCCTTAAAGAGCTATTCTCATGTATGGGATGATGGCCTTGTGTGTAAGGAGGGAATTCAAGTCTTGGTTCTCCCCTGTCACTCTGAAAGCTTTAGTAAAGTATCATCTGCATGTGAAGCAAGGAAGGTGCATTTGGATGCTGCAGTGCGGTCTGTTTCTGTACTCTTTAGGGCCTATTTTTAATAAAACCTGAGTACTCTGAACTCAGCTGAGTGAGTTGTCTTCCATACCTTTTAACACCCAATTCCTGGATCTCCTAACTGTTGGGTTTGGAGCTGGATTGCAACAGTGCTTCTGTGTGGTCACTGTGTGGAGCTGCCTGCTGCTTCAAGTGAGGAGAAAGGGTCTCAATCTCGTGGCAGTCTAGCTACTCTTCACATATCCTCAAGCAAAAGGTGTTTAGCTGGGACTTGTACCTGCTGATATTCCCCAGAAACAACAGAAGGACGCTGGAAGGTTTAGCTAGCCTGGTGAAAGATACAAGCAATCATGTTCCAGGTAAGTTGCAGTGGCTTTGCAAATTCTTTCCTACATGAGTCCTTTAGAGAGGTGACAGCAGTCCAGGACAGAAGATAGCTGATGTCAGCTTCTGGAAGGATTTGGATGTTTCCCTCATGCAATGTGTTCGGCTAGCAGGAATGGACTGCTTCTGGCTAGAGATACTAGTGGCAGATGTTGGTTCAGATCCTGTAGCTTTCCCCTGGAAGCTGTTTGGCAATCTTCCCAGTCTGTAGAGCAAGAGAATTAAATATGAAATCTGCATCTACATATGTGCTGAAGTAGGGAGACGCTATGCAAGTTGAAGCTAAAGGCTTCCCTAATACCAGAGGAAAGTAGTTGAGGAGTGCTAGGATGTACTGCTTCCTGCACCTTCAGACTTCCATGTTACAGCTTTGCAGAATATATACCATTGGGCTCAGCAGGAGCTAAAACTTGTATAGTATAAATGCACCTGTACTGTGCAGTGTCCTCTCATAGAGGGGTTGAATTACTGGTGAGTCTTCTGAATGGGAGGAGAAAGCATTCTCCATCTGTTGTGCCTATTAGCCTGGCAATCAAGTGGTATCTGCATGGTGCACATTCAAACAGGCTTTGGCAGATGTCTCATGCAGGTCCTGGTCTGGTAGCATTTGTACACCCCGCTGGCAATGCAAATGAGGTAAATGGTCTCTTCAATTCAAGCTGACATGAAGACCTGGGATCTATATTACCTTGCAGCATCTCAAACAGCAGGTTCAGATTCAGACCTCATGTCTCATGATGGAAGTAGCTGTTCCCCATGAGCACAGCCAGTATGTGCATTAGGAATGGGGTTTAAAACCAATCCTACTGCCTCAGATCCTGAGGAGCAGGGCCACGTGGCAGCATGTGTTGCTAGTCCTGGCCTGATCTTGATGGGTCACATATGCTAAATGACAAGTGAGAAAAGTAGCTGGGTACTTATGTGCAGGGCTGCAGTGAGCTAGCGGCCACAATTCTGCTCGAAGTAGATGTAGGGCAGAAGTAAAGAGTGGATAACAGGCTAAGGAAGGCTTTAAGGAAAGATTTCCTGCAGCATTTAAAGTACTGGAGTGTGTGTTTTTTTTTTTTTTTTACTACCTGTTAGAAACAGCTTAATTGATACTGTAATGGCTTGGTAGTTATTTACAGCACCTATGATTTCTGGAGGGCATTTCTGCTACCAAAAACCATAAATAAGTTTCAGTGCTTATGGGAGTGGACTCAGTACCTGAGATAAGTGGGCTTTGGCATGTATGTTCAATAGGAAGCTTCAATGATGGAAAATTAGCTATTAATCAGCATGTAAATCACTCTTCCATTAAACTGGGCAGATATTTTTCTCAATTACTGTAAGCAGCATAATCTCTCTAAACCTCATATTGATGAGGGATTAGAACTGCTCATATAATTACTTGAATAATCTAATGAGCATATCTGACAGCAAGCATACTTTAGATTAGGGAGGAGAGACTGCTGGTTGTCCAGTGGGAGCTGTGAGGACATACGTACCTGAATTACACTTTTTTTTTTTTTTTTTTACAAGTTTTATCTCTCACCAGGAGACCAGGTCAGGATTCAAGCACTGGTGCTGCTGTTCATATGTATGGGGTGGATGACAAAACTGTCTGAAGATAATTGATGTGCTATATAAATGACTCTGGAGCACTCTGGATGCAGGAAAGTGAGATGGAGGAGCTGAATGTGTGCACTTGAGCTGAGCCTGGAAGTCTCTGACCGGCAGCTGTAGAGGGTGCTGTGTGCATGCGTTTCTCAAAGCTTAGCTAAGAGCCAGATGGGTTTTCTACATCAACTGTCCATTTGTGTGTGTTTATACATGTAGTCAGGATGCTTTCCCTTTGTCACTGTAGCAGTTATTACAGCAGTTTGTCACTGCTGTAATAACAGTGGGCCAGTATTGGAGATTCTTCTGTAAAAACACAAAGAATGACAGCGGGGAGAAATCTTGAAAGTAAGGTGTGAGTAAGCCTGAACTTGTCCCAGGTTCTGTTTAGAGGAGCAGAGGTGGAAGAGATCTGCGCTCTGACAGGCTTTTGTTTCAAAGCTTTCTTCTGGGGTTTCTGATATGCCTATAAACAGGAGCGTGCCTTAGGAATGCCTTCATTTTACATCTGCCATGATCCATCTGGAACTAGAGGGCCTCCCCTCATGCTCCTTCCAGACCTGTGCTCCAAATTCCCATGCACCTGTGAGGAGAGCTGGAGGGCACTTGGGTTGTCTGTGCTGGAGAAAGGAAGCCTAAGAGGTGAGCTCAACAGCTTCCTGAGGAGGGGAAGCAGAGAGGGATGTGCTGGTCTCTGCCCTCCGATAATTGATGATAAAATGCAAGGCGATGGCACAAAGCTGTGCTAGTGGAGGCTTGGACTGGATGTCGGGAAGAATTTGTTTGCTATGAGGGTGGTCAGACACTGGAACAGGCTTCCTAGAAGCAGTTGGTGCCCTATGCCTGTAAGTGTTCAGGAGACATTTGGATAGTGTCCTTAATAATATGTTCTAACTTTTGGATAGCTCTTAGGTGGTCAGGCAGTTGCGATCAATAATATTTGTAGGACCCTTCCAACTGAACCTACCCAAGGCTGCTTGAAAATGGGAGCATGACTGCCTTTACCAAAAGTCTGCCTGGACATGGCTTCAGGAAAATGAGAATATGTGGAACGCCTAGCTGGTAAATACAGTACAGGGGTCACATTCAGTACAGGAACATCTTTTAGTACATTTTTTTTTACATATTTTTTAGTATAGTAACATCTTTTCCCTGTTACACTTCATACCCTACCTTCTCCTGTAGGTGTTCTCAACCCCTCTGGTACTCTGGTAGTGGAGAACTGGCTGAGCTTGATTGTGGCCTGCTATGGGCTCTCAGCAGCTTGGTATGCTCTGAGCTCAGGTAATTGTACTATGTGTAACCATAAGCTATTAATAAATTTGAGCTGCAGTGGACTTTGCAGTACTTCAATGTATAGCTGTGTAGTGCAGCAGGTTTCCCAGATAACAGAGAAACCATCAAATGGACTTTATTGGCTGTAGCAATACAGGTAAGATCACCCTGTTTGAAAATCACTTAATATAGGCCTTTGATAAAAAATGGGGGGGGGGGTGTTACCTCAGGATTTAAAGCAGTTTGCACCTAGTGTTTGTTGCCTGACTTCTGCAGGCACTAGTCAGACCCTGACTGTGGCTGCTGGGTTTTTTTGAATGAAGTGATGAAGGCAAAGAGGCATGTTCTGAACCAAGGCAGACTTACAGCTTGTTCCGATTGTGTCTCTGCACAGTGCTCCTGAGTAGCTCTCAGATGGGCAAAGGAAAATCACAGCATGTCCAGAGCTCTTACTCTGCTGCTGTGAAGTGGTTGAACGGGGCAGTAAGGACAAAGACAGATTTGTCAGCTTCATCAATTACAGCAGAAACAGGCAATGTTGTGTGTGCTTGGGTAACTTTCTAAAACTGAAATCTGGAGTCACTCACTAGGCTGGTATGTTTAAGCAAATGTTTACTTTTCTCCAACAGCTCTGTTTCTTGGTGCCATGAGCATTTGAGAGGAAAATAGCACAGATTATTTCTCTGGCTGCTGCTTTTAATAGATGTGTTTTCATACACAGTGAGAGGTTTAACATTTATATTCCCTAAGACCCAGGCATCTTTGTGACTTGACTGCTTGTTGATTATTATAGTCTTTTTAGACCTATCTGTTAAGTGGCTTATGGGATAGCACAGACCATTTCCTCATTGCTGCTTGTACTATTTGCTGTTTGTATTGTTGCCTCTGTCTGCACCTCTGCTCAGTGATAGATAAAATTATTCAATCTAAAATTATTTAATCTATGTTGACAGGCTAGACGCTATCATGGAGAGCAATGAAGCACAACCTGGTTTTGTGGTTGCTGTGGGAAGATCCAGTTTTCAGGACATTCAAAGTGTCCCACAGGCAGTAAGGGGAAGATTTTTATTATTTTTTAAGCAAAGTGTTTCTTTTAGAGCATTTTTTTAAATGTTCTGCAGCTATAGACCTTCCTGTCCTTCTACCCTTTTTGCCTGTTGCTTTTAGAAAGCATCCATCCACTGGAGAGTTCAGTTCACTTGCTCTGTTTGGTTTTGAATGCTCCGGCTGGGTCACCTTGAAGTCTTCCATCCATTGCTGAGAATGTGTTTGGCTTCTGTAACCTTTTCCCAAGCCAGATATAAAAGCTAGGGGTTGTCCTCATTTCTCTGCTTTCACGGAGACTCTGTTGGGTTCTTGTAAGCTTCCCCAGCAAGGATGTCCAGAGCCAGAGAGACTTTGGCAGATGTGATGTCAGCATGACTGCATAAAGAAGCAAGGCATGTTGTTCATCAGGTGGAAGGTATCCTTCCAGCGGGGGGGCAGGAAAGCAGATGCAGCTCCACATGGTGCTGCCTGCCCAGATGGATTCCCTGGAGCCCGTTCCTGAAGGCTGCTCTCTGAAGGTGGGGCAGTATGTCAGCACCCAGGGGCTGGCCTGAAGTAGGACACGCACTTTCCTCTCCACACGTGCTCACATTTCCTGCTGTGGGTGGCAATGTCTTCAAGAGCCTTCTGCTTTTGGTTCAGAACTTCTCTTTAATTGAAAGGGTGAGGTTTTTGCTTTTGATCGTCCCACAGATACTGGAATGCTTGCGCATCGGTCCAGGATAGAGCCGGGCCCTTAGGCAGCAGCTGACTTCTGGATACC